CTGCTGCTCTGTGCAGCCCCCCCGACTCCAGAGCTGCTGCTCTGAACAGTTTTTCCTTACGTTCCCACAGCGTATGAGGGGGTTCAGGCTGCTTCTGAAGTGGTCGGTACTGAAACACAGCTCCTTCTGGCACCAGTCCTGGCTCTCCCTGCATTGAACAAACCTTTCCAGCTCTTTGTTAACATAGATCAAGGGGCAGCTCTGGGAGTGTTAACCCAGGAATGGGAAGACAAACGTCAGCCCGTGGTATATTTATCTAAGCTACTAGATCCAGTATCTCGGGGTTGGCCAGAATGTATTCAGGCAGTAGCATCTACTGCTCTTCTGGTAGAGGAGAGCAGAAAACTGACTTTTGGGGGACACTTGGTAGTCACTACTCCGCACCAAGTGAAAAATATTCTGACCCAAAGGGCTGGAAGGTGGTTAACAGATTCTAGGATTCTGAAATATGAGACAATACTATTGGAGAAAAATGATTTAGTACTAACAACTGAGTCTTGCCTGAATCCAGCTACATTTCTGTGGAAAGGGGAGGAGGGAAACAAAGGTGTAGAGCACAATTGCTTGGATTTAATTGAGTATCAGACAAAAGTAAGATCTGATCTGCAAGACACCCCCCTTGAGGAAGGAAAGCTTTTGTTCATTGATGGGTCCTCAAGGGTAGTGCAAGGAAAAAGACACAATGGATATGCTGTAGTAGAGGGAGCAAAAGGGGAAGTGAGGGAGATGGGCCGGCTGCCTAACAACTGGTCTGCACAGACATGTGAATTATATGCCTTGAACCGAGCACTTCATCTCCTTAAGGGAGAAGAAGGAACCATATATACTGATTCAAAGTATGCATATGGTGTGGTATACACTTTTGGAAAGATTTGGGAGGAAAGGGGGTTAATCAACAGTAAAGGAAAGGAATTGGTCCATGGAGAATTAATCAAACAAGTCTTAGAAAATTTACTACTACCTACCGAAATTGCAATAGTGCATGTCAGAGGTCACCAGAAAGGGAATTCAATCATTGCTCAGGGCAATCGAGCAGCAGATAAAACAGCCTGTGAGGCTGCTTTACAATCAACAATTACTATGAATTATCTTATGCCCGAGGTGCCACCTCCTCCCCCAAAACAAATTTTCAGTGAAAAAGAAAAGGAAACCCTTAAGAACGTAGGGGCCACGGAGTCTGAAGGAAGATGGACCCTTCCAGATGGGAGAGAAGTATTAAATAAAGCAGTGACAAGGGAAATTTTATTCATCCTACATCAAGGGAGCCACTGGGGAGTACAAGCTATGTGTGATGCTGTGCTGCAAAAATACGTAAGCATAGGGATATATACTCTGGCTAAACAGGTCTGTAGGGGATGCGTAGTGTGCCAGAAAGTGAATAATAAGGTTATCAGAAATCGGCCCAAAGGGGGAAGAGAGCCGGGGATTCGACCATTTCAAAGTATTCAAGTAGATTTTACGGAACTCCCGAATGTAGGAAAGGTCAAGTACTTGTTAGTGCTAGTAGACCATTTAAATGGGTGGGTAGAAGCATTTCCATCAGTATCTGCCACTGCAAATACGGTAGCCAAAATAATTTTGGAACACATAATCCCTAGATATGGAGTGGTAGAAAATGTTGATTCGGACCAAGGTAGCCATTTCACTTCACACATATTACAGAAACTAATGCACACTTTAGGGATTAAGTGGGAGTTTCATACTCCTTGGCAGCCATCATCGTCAGGAAAAGTAGAGAGAATGAATCAGACAATAAAGAAACACCTCACTAAGCTGGTCTTAGAGACTCGACTTCCTTGGACTAAATGTTTGCCTCTGGCACTTCTCCGAATTCGTACAGCACCAAGAAAGGACATCATGGGGATTTCTCCATATGAAATGTTATTTGGGTTACCATATCTAGGAAGGAAAAATGAGGTACCGCAGTTTGAAACTTAAGATGTGTTTCTTAAGAATTATATACTCGGATTGTCTTCCTCACTATCGTCTCTCAGGATCCAAGGACTGTTAGCACAGACACCACCTCTGGAATTTCCGATTCATCTTTTCCAACCTGGAGACTGGGTCCTCATCCAGACCTGGAAGGAGGCAAAGCTGCAACCCGACTGGGAAGGACCGTTCCAAGTACTTCTGACAACAGAAACAGCTGTCAGGACAGCTGAGAAAGGTTGGACTCACTACACTCAAGTAAAACCCTCCACTAACCCTGAAGCATGGGAAACTGTTGCTATGGAGGATCCTTTAAAGATAAAAATTAGAAAGAAATTGTAAATATACTAATCTGTATTTTTTTTCTTCTTTTTATAACCAGTATAGGTAGGGAGGTGTTTAGAATGTATATTTGTACTCCTATTCTTCACTACAGTAATGGTATAGATGTTTAGGAGTTAATAATGATGCAGAAGAGGTAGTTTTGATTCTGACAGTGATCACCTTTAAAGAATGTCTTAGTCAACTGATTGCTTGGGAAAAGGATGACCTACAAAGGGGAGCGGGAGGATACCCTGTTAAGATGTGGGTGAATGCAACAAGGAGAGAAACGCCTCAGACTGTCACATTTGATGCTTGCAGTGTGATAGCCTGTGGGGACTTAAATGCCCAAAGACAATTGAGTCATGAAGAGAAATACCTGTGTCCTGAATTAGGCATGAATAAGAGATCCCCTTGTGGGGGATGGAATAATGTATGGTGGACAACTGCCTATCAGGGCTGGACATATATCCCAGGGATATTCAATACGATGCAATCACGCACCCTAAAAGAACGGATTAGTATGTTTAGGGGAATTGTTCAACCAGACTGCCAGGCTTTGCAGTGTAATCCAGTGACAATAACAATTAGCAAGGCCGATAGCCTTGTTAACATCACTTTTGGGATTGGAATAAACGTTCAGGGAAGAGACCCAGTAGCTAGATTCAGAGTAGCTGTATGGGATTCTTTGCCTGATCATACTCGAAAGATTCAGGATAAGAAAAAGAGAGAAAATTCCTTCTGAAAGTCCTGCAGCTGTAGTAATTATGGAAATAAAAGATCTCAGACAAACATTTGAAATGGAGACAGGATACAGGGATGTGAATGCCTGGGTAGAATGGATAAAGTATACTGTCCTGAGTCTTAACCATAGCAACTGCTACGCTTGTGCATCAGGACGGCCTGTAGCTCAGGTAGTACCCCTTCCTCTGGGATGGACCAGGAATTCCCAAGGGATGCAATGTATGATCGCCCTGTACCAGGAGAAAACCGCCTGGGGAAATGAAGCCTGTAAATCACTCTCCCTATTGTTACCCCCGATATCAGAGATGGATGCCAAAATCCCTCCTGCATTCTCTATGGCCATAGGTAACCATACAGCTTGTCTCTCAAGGCAGGGTATGAGGGCTACCAGACCTATAGGGTATTTCTCACTATGCAGTGAAACCTTGGATGTTACGAAGGATTTAGCGGAGAACTATTCAAGGCTGGGAATCCCTAGAGCAGATCTCTGGTAGTATTGTGGTGGGAAGATCTTACAGTCCATTCTCTCATCTAATTGGGGAGGTACCTGTGCACTTGTTCAACTGGCTATACCGTTCACTCTGGCATTTGAGAAGGATCTATCACACATTTAAAAGAGGAACAAAAGGAGCCTGGGAGCCCCATTTGATCATGATACAATATATATGGATTCAATTGGGGTGCCCAGAGGTGTCCCTGATGAATTTAAGGCTAGAAATCAAATTGCTGCAGGATTTGAATCTCTATTCTGGTGGGTGACAATTAACAAAAATGTAGATTGGATAAACTACATCTATTACAATCAGCAGAGATTTATAAACTATACAAAGGAGGAAACAAAGGGAACTGCAGAACAATTGGATGCTACAAGCAGGATGGCCTGGGAGAATAGAATTGCCCTAGATATGATACTAGCTGAAAAGGGAGGTGTGTGCGTAATGTTAGGTACTAATTGCTGTACTTTTATCCCAAATAACACAGCCCTGGAAGGCACAATAACTAGAGCATTACGGGGGCTTACTACTCTTGCCAGTGAATTAGCTGAAAACTCAGGAATAGATAATTCCCTCACTGGATGGTTGGAGTCCTGGTTTGGCAAATGGAAAGGGATGATTGTGTCCATATTTACATCTTTGATAGTGGTAGCAGGAGTCCTGGCAGCTATTGGTTGCTGTATTATCCCCTGCGTGAGGGGATTGGTGCAGCGATTAATCGAAACTGCGCTGCTGAAGCAAACAGTAGTGGAGCCACCACCGTACTCGGATAAAATGATGATATTAGACGAAATGGAGGATGAAGAAAGTGAAGAGGTCTTTAGAATCGTACCTTAAAAAAAAAAAAAAAAAAAAAAAAGAGAAGGAATTGCAGAAATCAACACTTTGAAAGAAAAAGAGGGGGGAATTGTGGGAATGGAATGTTGTTTCTGCATTTGATATTAAAAAGGAGCAATTGGTTTGAAGAAGTAGAACATCATGCATTTGTATTCTGTAACTTATCCTTAGAAATAGTTGATCTAAGAAGTAAAATACTGTATATGTCAGTGGTGTGTTTTAGAAACATTATTATTGAATTGTGTGATTAATTCTTTCTTGCAAAACTGTAATAGTTGTTAAATGTTCCAAACATTGCAAGTATAGTGTGTTAAGGATTAGAAAACATATTGTAGAGCTTTTCTGTTAGGATAAGAAACTCTCAGCAAAAGAAAGACAGATTTAGCAAACATCAAAGAACTTAGGGCCTCCACACAAGGCTGAACTTTCTCACTCCGTGAGAAGGTTGGGGTGTGATAGGTAGCCACCAGGATACTCCCCTGCCTCTCTCCCAAGCTTATCTTTATAGAAAGAAGGACAAGCAGATATCTGCAAAATAATGATCAGATGTGGAATAAGTCAATTAATTAACTACAGATTTACGCTTATGCAGCAAAAATTCATGTTTGTCCAGTGTTTCCATGTTTAGTGAAGCGTTGAGAAGATTGTGAACCTGAAGTACTCAGCCAATGAGGAACCAGGGGAGTAAGAGATAAGCGTCGGGGAATAGGGAATAAAAGATGTAACTCTGTTTTCTGCGTGCTCTCCTGCTTGCAGGAGGCCCGCCATTGCAATTGCGAATAAAATCTGCTTTATCAGAGATACCGTCCTAGAAAATTATTTGTATATTTCCTACAATGCTAGTTCCCCAGATAGTGACTTTTATCCAGAAGAAAATCTGGAGGATGTGAGAGCCCAAAAAGACAAATCAGAAAACCTGGTGACCCTTCTCTGCCCTCCGATAGAAATTGGGCATGCATATGAAGAGAGTGAAGGTGGGTACTCTGATGTTAGTATCGAGGAGGTCCCCTATTCTGGTAACGAGCTGGCCAAATTAAAGAAAGATTTTGGTCACACCCCTAGGAAATCAGAGACAGAGTATGTGTGGAAAGTGCCACTAACGGGGAGAACAGATCCTGTTGACTGAAAAGGAATCAGAGGGTTACTGAGGACCTGGAATATTTTCGACCACAGGCAACCACTGTGCCCCGTGGTGCCTTACTCAAAGAGCTGCTTATTGGGATGCTTACTCCCTGGGACAGCCGATGTTGATTGATTTGCTGCATGTTGGTCCTGTCCCTTTAACCCTGAAAGAGCCTCTTAACAAATACAACTGGAAGGCTCAAGACGATCAAGGAAAAATGTACAAAATTAACCATCTGGATTTCACCCACCTTCCTGTGGGAGATGGAGAGGTCAGCTCGGCCTCATCAAGTCTCGACTTGTTGATAATGAGGCTCTGGAAAGGAGACAGAGGGTTGTCTCGCTCCAATTTATAGGAGGGAGATGAGGTTCTTTTAATATCTGTATACCCGGTGTGAGATTAAGACACAACGGTTCATATGTTAGTCCAACCAGTTTATTACAGATCTTAATTAGGGAGACGGGGAAGGGAAGGAGGGTGATAGAAAAGATAGGAAAGAAGCAAGAATGCCGTAAAGCG